ACTTTGGAAACCACCGTAGCCCTAAAGTTTGTTCTGGGACTGAGCTTCAGTGGGTATTTAAGGAGATGCTCAGATATGTTCAGAATAGTAGGCCATTAGGTCACCTCTGGGACGCTTATACTCTTATGAGTAAAGGTTCGGCTGTTTAAAGCACTATTTAAAAGGCTTGAAGTTTAGTCCCCAAAATGATTTCGTGGCTCGCCGTTGGATACGTTCCGATAAAGACCTAGCCTTTCGGATTGGGGAGAAAACAACATGTTTCCATACTCTAAATGGGGTCGAATAAAGCTGTTGAAGGTAAAGTGGAAAATTCTACCGTCAAACTGGCCACAAAATGCACTTCAACGTTCCCAGTGCGGGATTTGCTCAAAGGCATTTTTTCCGTAGTTAGCGTAAGACTTCAGATCGTAGGGTGTCAACATCCACAGATCTTTTTCGAACGACGATACCGCTAGAGGAGAGTTCCCCAAGCTATGTGCGTAATAAAGAACATGTCTCGGATGGAATAGTTTACACTCAGAAGTGTTAAAAATAAGTCCGTTGTTATCTGCCCAACTTTTCAGATCTTCGTGAAGTTCCAGCTTGTCATGTTGGTTGCAAACTTCTCTCCAGAAATTCCTATTACCATTGAAAAGTAATAAACTATACGGTGCTTACTGAGGAAAGCCATTCACATGAATTGAGGAGGGGAGAGGTTCTAGTACTGGACCCTAAGAGGGACCACTAGGACGTGATGTAGCCTGAGAAAAAGTGAAGTCTACACTGATCCTAAAGTTTCGACTATTCTAATTTGAAGTCAGCCAATCAATCAGCGATGGCCAGTTACACGTTCGGTTGAGCTTATTGACAAGACATTTGTAGTTGACCCTATCAAAACTTCTGGGAAGTCAAGGCGTACGACACCAGCCTTCTCGTTTGCAGCCAAGTATGGTTGTTCATCTGTCCACTACAGTTAGTAGGTTGACTGTGCTGGAGTGACCTTCCCTGGAACCATGCTGTTGAGGTGAAAAGAAGTTTGAGGATACTGAGTAGTCACTCAGACCACCGCATATCGGGGACTCCATAATGTTTGTGGGTATTGGGAGAATTGCTACTGTCCGGTAGCAATGAGCATCCACATCGAGTTAAGGGTGGGCTACACAATCAATGTGTTGTAGATTGACACATAAAGCTGACAAGTCCAACCAACTGTCATTCTAAAGCACGTTGTTGACAGCACGTTTTAACCTAATTTTCTTGGTAAAGATGAAGGCTATTTAATCATGACCACTTTTACCCAGTGGAGCTCGGAATGAGAGGTTTGTAAATATGCAGCCTAAGTGTGACGGAGTCTATCCATTTCTGCAGCAAACTGCTGACTCCACATTGTTGAATAATCTCAGATCTTCAGTGAGGTTGGAGAACCGAGCTTCAGTAAGGTTGTCATCGCCAATGTACGTGTGGCCCCATATGTTGATTTTAAGAAGATTGAGGTCCCCTAAAAATTGGATATGAGTGTACTGGAGACGGGTTGAACGGAGTAGCCCCTTCAGCACACGTTTGTCTTACACGGTGTTAGCAGCGGGTTTCCTGCAAATGACTCCAACCAGACTTCTCGAGGTGTTCGACAAACGCACTGAGAGTTACGCAGATTCATCGTGACTGATAAATTCTTAAGGTACACTTGACATTGGCAGTGATTGCTTTTTGTTTGAAACGCGCGCGCTTCTCCGTCTTGTTTTAATGAATGAGCTTGGGTGGATGGATTTATAACCTACCCACACAGGGTCTTCCGAGTCGGTAGCCTCTGTCTATTCTTCGTACTTTCCATGCTCTGAACAGTCTACAATTGGGATAATCAGTTCCAGTATGTTTTCCTGTTTGGTCCTTGCATCGTATGGTCAGTACGGATGTATGTGGAGTCCAGTTGGAAGCCGACGTCTGTTGACAAAGAATACTTCGAGAGTAGCAGCAAGCATTTGGAAGGTTGGAAATGTCACGTTCGTTACCCGGGATCTAGGGCCCCCGTTATTCATGGTAAGTTGCACTACTCGTTGAATCAATACTGTCATGCACTTGAAGGACTGTCTGATGAAATTCCACTTTGGAATATTGTAGTCTACATATTCAGGATCCGTGTTTCTTGAGACATCTTGCACAATAGTATTTCTCTCGAGATTCACTAAGGGATTTTCTAATGAGATTGAGCTCAGAACACGGTATATTATATAGTATTCTTACGTCCTCCTGTGAATTCAGCAAGCGACTGGTCAGCAGAACATCATTTACGTCATCAGTATTGGTGAGGGATATACGAAGGAGTTTTGAATGAGTTTGGTGTTTGAAATCCTTCCCATGGGTAAGCTGTGTAACCACCAGTGGCTTATTTTGGGTGATATACTCTTGTTCCGAAAGGGAATTTTCTCATAGCCCGTAAATATTTAACTACTGTTTTTTTTTTCATATACTACGCTCTCATGGAATTTTCCGAATGACCAGATTGTTCGGTTCTCAGCCAATAAAACTACATCCTCTGTTTGTTAGGGTTATATTTATTCTTTAAAAATAAAATATCTCAGTTTTTCGGAAAATTATTTAATTTGTGTTTTTAGGTTTTGGTCCTACTACCTTTTGTCGAACAGCTCTTTTAGCTGTATGGCCTGGTGATGTTGTTTGTCTAAATATTCAATATAGTTTATAATCGTAATGTTGATGATCGGAGCCACACCCTTTCGAAACATTGTGTTTTTTGAATTATCTATGGGAAAGGACGGGTGTTTGTGAGAAAGCTAGAAACTATACAGAATTTAATATAATAGCGATTTCTTCTTGTTTATTAAAGTCCTGGAGTAAAACGAGTAACAGAAGACCAAGATATGGTACGATCATGAAGTATATTTTATACTTACCAGTAGGATACGAGTTTGTGTGAAGCATACAGATAAACTATTAAGTGGACAAAATAAAATGTTCTTAACGTTTCATGGCAGATTCAAACAGTAACATCGTGCAATATTTATTATGTTGAGCAATGCATGGAGTGGTGCTACTATACTACATAGTTTTTTTATTTTAAGGCCTTGTTTCTTATCATATCTGTTTATCTTTCTCTAAACTCACTAGTCGAATTCCGTGTGATAAATGATGGTCCTAGCAACCTTTTATGACCTACAACATACTCACTGATAAATACGCAAGAAATGCTTTCTTGGAATAAAATGCCATATTCACTAATCTTAATGCGAATGAGGGAAAAGTCTAATAGAGAAGATATAAAAGGATAGAGACCATACTTTAATATTGTTATTAATACTCACAAACTTGATCATACACAAGTGTAGAGCCAGCGAAATGTCACTAAGCCCTAGCCAAATCATCCGGCAGTTGGGTCATTGAATATCGAGCAAATCACCAGTGTAGATCGCCATCGTAGATGATCTATGTCGAAATGATTGGAGGCCTACTCGAGTTAGACGTGAATGATGTGACAAACTAGCTAATGTCGAAGTCACACCTCATGGTCAACACCTTACGTGGACTACCCCATCGACGTATCAAGGTACCATAGTTGCTTTGAAGACTGTACAACACAGAGAATGTTATTTCAGAAATATATTAGTTAAAGTAGATACTATCGAAAGTAAGACCACTGCCGCATGGGCTAGTCCATGGTATACGATTGACTGACGCGCGTTGGTTGTCCCTGACCTTGACGAGGATCGATGATTTGCTCGATATTCAATGACCCAACTACCGGATGATTTGGCTAGGGCTTAGTGACATTTTACTGGCCCTACACAAGTATTGTGAAAAAATCACTTTGGTGTTCATCACAATCGCAACTATACACGAGAGTTCTAATAGTGTTTACACAATATTTACCATACTTAAACAGGTTCTATATTAATTAGAAAAATATTAAGCTGACGTTAAAAACTATGTGTAAATAATTTAATATGTTAATAAAAGAGTAAACGGTGTTATGTGCATTACAAATAGAACTTGCAAAAGAATTATCGAATTAAGATTTTATGTTAGAATTGGTTGGTTAATATTACGCGATGTCATCAGAGCAGCCACAGTATTAGTATATAGCGGGTGAGGGTAATCTACGGTGGGTTTTAACCACGAGGTGTGACCTCATTGCAAACTTAGAGGTCCCACTATTCCCCGTTCGACTCCACTAGGTCCCGACCATCAGTATAAGACACTTAAACTGGTAACTTACAGAATGCCAATTCGAGATGCTTATTAGGGTAGCTGACAATAGTTCAGTTCGCTCATTTATTAAATATCTCCCTGCGGCGTTTCTGAGCAATAATCTAGACGAATAGTCCCAGTCAGTGGAAGGCGGTCTATAAAGGGTGTTACAGACTTATTACACTCTTCAGTCGAAGGTCAATGTAGTAAAAAGCGGAATAGCGTAGACAGTGTTTTTAATTTAAACCACAAAAGTTAAGGATGTATCCAGTAGTTACGAGTATAAGTTAGTCAAAACTAGTACGAATAAAGGAGACTTTGGGCGCAAATACAATCACACATATGATGTCTTACAAAAGGTGGATATATGATATTTATTTTAGCCGTAAAAATGATTAAATCGACATGTTATTAGAAACCTCTCTTCATTAACGGACTAAGTGACATCAGCCCCCGAAAACATCCAAAAACTAGAAAAATAAATTTCGATTGAGTTAATAACTGTTTTCTAGTGTGAATGGTACATTTTTGTTCACAAAGAGCCTTTGTTAAATCGCTTCGATTATTAAAGAATGATTTTATCAAGTTGCGTAGATTTTCATTCTGCCTATTACGAATAAAATGAGAAAAACAATGTTGTTCTATTTTTTCGATATAATTCCTTAGATGGGAAAAAGGTTTTTCGAAATAGGTTGCAATACTCATTATTCCATCGATATGTATTGTTGCGCGTATTATGGTATTAGCGCTGCACCCAATAAATTAATGTCGGCGCGACTCCACCTTGCTTAGGATTTCTAGTTCATTTCCTCAACCTTCTAATGGCTCTTTCAGGGTCGAAGGAGTTCGTCGATATGCTGCTAGCTCGGGAATTTACAAGGTACTTAGTTTCCTATCTTAATATGTAGTAATAGTGCTGATGATCAGGTACTTATTATGAATGGTTGTGATGTTAGTGGACATAGTTTTAAAGAGAATGGTTTCGCAAAACCCGTTTTGGTACGATCAAAAGACGGTCTAAGAATTAAGGTCCCGCTAGACTCATTCTCTCATACAGATTTAACCAGGTTTATAGGTACTGGAAGTCCATAAAAGTTATCGGTTTTAGATCCTAGTATTCAGGTTGATGTCATCGATGTTCGTCAGCAAGTCGAGATACAAATGACGCTCCAAGAACTGGTTGACCACTTTTCCTCACCTCGTCGACAGGTATTGTTAAACATGCTGAGTCTGGAGTTTTCAAGAACCAGGTAACATATGTTGTCTTTACATTAAAAGTAGCCTGGCAAAGTTTGTACATCCTCCGCATGTCGTTTCGGAACTTAGTCTTGTCACAACCTGTTGGCCGGAAGATGACCCTAACGACCTTAAAGATGTCGAATTTATCGGCGAGACTGCACCAACTGTCCAGAAATACTGTCTTTTAAGTATGAAAGGCAGTTATACTGACTTCCATATAGATTTCGGTGGATCATCTGTCTGGTACCATGTTATGTGGGTAGGTTTTTCTATTCAGAGTGAGGTCTATGAGCATAGGGTGAAAAAGTGTTTTACTTGATGCCGCCTACACCCGAATTCGTTTCTGCTTATTGGCGATGGTGTATGAGCAGCGATCATAGGGCGACATTCTTCCCAGACTTTGTTGCTAGTCTTCGGGAGAAAGGTAAGCATTCGTCTGTGCATTGTGGAACATAGCTCCGAATTACTTTTCTAGAATCGACTAGTAACGTAAATAGACCCACAGTTTACTGCCTTCACATTTTACCCGGCCAAACAATCTTCTTGCCATCTGGTTGGATCCACGCTGTTTACACGCCTTCTGACTGTCTAGTTTTTGGAGGAAATTTTCTGAGTGGATTGCATGTATCTATGCAGCTCAGGTAGGTTACTGAAATATATTTAAGTGATCTTATTACTTGCTTCATATTTTAACTGTGATTAATTATTGTTTCATAAAAGTTCAGATGGTTATATTTTAGGACGTTAACTATTCACTTCGGTTTTAAAGTAATAAAATGGGGTTTAGTGACGTAATTCTGAACTTGTTATTGGTCAGCATTGATTATTGTACGGTCCCAATGCTGGATATCCATGCCGGTATATTGTCTGGGATTCTGTGCAAAAAATTAGGATTATACGTGCTAGACAATTGTCCCACCTCATGTGGCATTGTTTAATGTATGGTTCTGTTAGGATTTTATTTTAAAAGATAACGAGTTTATAAAGCCAATTAGTTAACATTTTCTGGGGATTTATAAACTTCGTGAGTTATGGAAAATTTTGACTTTTTACACGCTATTCATGAAACAAGTACACATTTGACTACTGTGATCTAAATCACGGTGTCAGCAAAGTATTTCGCAGCTCCCCGTATCGATGCAGTGTAGCCGAGGTCAGGTCTCAATAAAAATTCAGAATCATTTTTGTTTTTTGACAGAGATTAACTCGATTTAAGTCCAAGATAAATGTAATCCCTGTGTTCGATTTTCCTTTAAATGATTGGTTTACTTATCTTTGAAATATATCACAGCTACCCAATGTCTCAACTTTCCATATATGTGGATATACAGAGTTAGGTTTAACAAGAACAACACTATTTTGTCTTGCCGATTTAGTAAGGTAAGGTAAGGTTAGTTTTCAGTTTATCCAACTTCATAGCAATATCCTAGTTTCTTGTATGCGATGGATATTAACCAGCCATAGTGAAAAACCGTTTTGTCCTGTGGCTGGATTTTATACTGTTCAAAAACTGTTAATGACAAGAGGTGAGTAACAGCAATCATCCCGACTTTTCGACGAATTACTTAATCATTTTGCTGCTCTGCCTAACTCGTGGTCACATCATATTATGTCTTGATTCTTAGTAAGTTTGGTCGATTTTAGCAGGGCTTGTTCGTCATGTTTGAGTTCCAACTACTTTGTAAGAGATCTGAACGAAATGTCAATCAAAGCATTTTTTTCAAGCGCTTATTGAATTGTCTAGACAAATATCATACTAAAAACCGTTGCGTGATATTCATCTTTGAGATGAACACCTAGTCATTTTGTTGCTTCACTGAAAACATAAGTCTGTATTTACGGGTTGAGATTTTATGTGGTACATTTAGTTGTAGACAGTCACTGACAGCCGATGACATAGTTCTATTTGATGATGACGCTAACAAAATGCAGAGTCTTCTGACCACTCTAAGCAACAATGAAAGCATGTTCGGAATGCGATTCTCCCCCTCGAAATGCAAAATGTTGCTTCAGGATTGAGTTGCATCGATACCCAAACCAATATAGGGAGTGAAGAAGTTGAGCGTGTCGAACGGTTCACTTGTCTTGGAAGTCTCATCAGCCCTTGTAGTCTGGTGTGTGACGAAATCTCAGCACGAATACAGAGGGCTCAACTAGCTTGCGTCATTTATGGCGTAGGTGAGATATCCGTCTACCAACCAAAGGATGGGTTTACTGCACAGCAGTTCGTTCCGTTCTACTTTATGGCTGCGAAATATGGCCGATAAGAGTAGAGGATATTCGTAGGTTACTAGTATTCGATCATAGATGTCTTCGAAGCATTGCTCGTATATCCTGGGACCACCGAGTAAGTAACACAGTTGTTAGGAAACAAATACTAGGTAACGATGGCAAAGCAATTGATGGGGCAGTGAAACTTCATCAGTTGGGATGGCTGGGACACGTGTTACGTATGCCTAACCATCGACTACCCCGACGTGCCATGTTTCATGGTGTAGAAGTGGGATGGAAGAAAAGTAGAGGCGGCCAAACCAAAACATGGCACAAATCCATGAAGTTGCTGACAAGTGGACTGAGCCATGTTGGTAGGTGTAGACTACCTGGTTGGGATCCGCGAGACGATAGCAACCGATAGTTAGAGACCTTGAATGACATGGCTCAAAATCGTTTGCAATGGCGCAGGTGCATCCGCTCTTTGTGTTCTCCCAAATTCTAATCTTCTGAATTCTTCATGTCCCTTTTTTCCTCTTTCCAAATTTATTTCACTGGACTATACTCTTTGAATGACAACTTCAAACACTAATCTTTCCGATTACTGCTTATACTCATACTACCTTTACCACTACGGGATTTGAATTGACAATTGTATTTCTGTGCTAATGTGGTGTGGCAACTCGAACAGATGTACGTACGTACGAAGTTCTACGTTTTTGCCTGACTTTAGACAGCCACTGTATTCTGCGGGTTAAGCCATGGAAATTGTCTTACCTCCATGACGTATAGATTTTGGTAACACAATTAATTTACAACCAACCATGCTAGAGTTTGGCTAGCAGAGCTTACTGTTTCATTTGATTTAAGTTGTAAGCATTAAAAGTCAAACAGCTTTTGAAGCACTGTTGTAACGAGTCAAGAAAACTAGTTAGAAATGAAAATTATTGAAACTGGGAAATGTTGGTTGAAACGAACAGTTATTGAGAATTGGAAAGAAATAGTCTGAAGGACGTAGATAGATTACGAGTGGCCCATTATATACACTTGGTTCTAATACCATTTGTTTACTAAATAACCTTTTATTCTAATTCTTTAGCTTAGTTTGTGTTGTTATTACTGTAGAATTTATCGCATGGAACAAAAATGCAAAACTCCAATGAAATTTCTGTTCCCTAATTTTGAGAAGGTTCACTGGTTTTATAGCCAATGTCTCCTGGACAGACTAACTAGTAAGTATCTCAGTCAATATATTTCAGCGATATAGTTTATTCGATTATTGTGCCACATATTTCATACTCTCTAACAACACGAAATTTTTAAAATTTCCACTATTATTGTAGACAACTTAATTGATGGCGAAAATCCCGTTATTTTCGACGTAGAGGCGGCTGAATGCTTGGCTAAAGTTCTTCCTTTGTGGTATTCTAAAAGACATATGGTAACTGAATGTTTTATAACAAACTACATTCCTCATTTTAGATGATGTTACTGCTCTTTTTTATTTATTCTCCATAGATTTTGGATTGTTAAATATCACCGAATGATCATCATGAAAGGTTTGAAATCTTAATTATAATAGAAAGTCTAAGTTTTTCACCATTTATAAAACTCGATGTATAGTTGTGTAATGCGGTGTAATTTCTAACCTGTGTTCCCACAATCAATGTAGGATTTCATTCAGAAGTTAATTGGGTACTTGGAAAATCCAATTAGGTCTTCAAAATTGATAATGGAAGAATATAATCGCACGGTTTTTGAACGATATCAACAACTCCGAAAGCGGACCATTTATGGGACAGAAGTAGTGCGTCGCACTTGTGGTTCAGGTGTTCAGATTCGAATTTCTATATTATTGGGTCATATTTATACCAATAATGTCTTATGATGTAAATTCTGTTGGAACTCGCTTAGAAACAACTTTCCACCGTATATCGTTGAGTCTGTTTATATTTGCTGAATGCCTCATTCCAAGTTATTAATCTCAAGTATTTCTTCAATCATCTGGCTTCACCATTCATAAGTTTTGTATTACTTAGTAGTGTCTAATAAATTACGGAGTTTACGTCTATTTATATACGTAAGTGCTCAGCTGCACGTACCTGCGCTTTACGGAATCTCATCTAAGATCTCTCGTTTCTAGGTTACACTGCTAGTTGTTAGTACATAATGGAGAAATTTTGTCAAGGAAAATATATAAACATCTGCGCAGCTAGTTGATTTGCTAATGTTCTAATCAACGCATATCAACCAATAGTAGGAAATTTGTTGTGACTTTATGGCCTGCTGGTTATCACGTAATCTGTTCGCCAATAAAAATACGACTTATTTGCTCTTATACTGTACTAAACCAATGACGTCCGACTGGTATGATCAGCCTGGCGTCCTATTGGCCCGTTGCCCGCCTAGCCCGTCCAGCTGAGTCCAGAATGCTAATAACAGCCTCCACTATGCGAATAACTTATTTCACACATACTAGGTTTATATATCAACCAAATAGACCGCAACGCATCATAAAATATAAAATAACTCTCGTACAAAATATAGCCGAAGGTAGCTGTGAGAGTGGGAGACAGTAATTAATAAACTGAGTATAACATAAGAACAGTAAATTGTACGATAATAATCTATAGGTCAAAATGAAGCTTATAATAACAGGGATATAGATACATACAATCTAGTTACTGAATAGTTATACCATAAGAATATATAAATAATATTAGTCCATTAATAGGTCTCAGAAGTTACTCGTAATTTAATCCTCACTAGAATATAACAAAATTCTTAGGTATTATATTCTACCTTCGTATCTTCTTTAACTTCTTGGAGATATAATCAGGGTTTTCTTAATACATAGTCATCTGAAATCTTTTAAACTTAATTTATTTTAGTTATGTGACAATTTTCCCTTCCGTTGAATGAGTCATCCCTTAAGAGGTCTAAACAACTTTCCATTTAAATGGTAGTAAGTGTCGAATTTTGATACTGCTTTTGAAATCATATTGTCTCACCCAAGAAACTGTGGTCTTCACAAATAAATATATATTGAAACGGTTATGGACTGTTAAATACAAAGTTGTAAATACAACTGTTGACACTTATTATGATAGAACTATTTTGTGTCAAAACTGCAGATTTGTAATTATCGGTGTTTTTTCTCAAGAAATCGCCAGTTCAAGCACCAATTGTTGTATAAATAAGGACATTCAGTTTTTCAGTGGTATCAGTGACTGCATACTTCATTGTTGCTGTTCATAGGTTAACCATAACTTATGATTGGGAAGTTTAAATGGATCCGTTATTTACTTTTCTGGATCTCGGACCTATCAATACCCTATAATTTTTCTTCTACTTCATTGTTTTTAACAAAGTTTTGTGTTTTTTACCCTATTATTTCCCTTACTGTGTTCTGTCGTGAATTGTAGCAGTTTAAAAAAGTGCACAAATTTATTATCCAGGTGATTTATCATATTTGTTTAGAGTAGTATGGTGATAGTATATAAGTGTTGGTTCTTTCATTTGTACGTGTTTTCCTGACTTTTCTTTAGTTTACCGTTTTCATTGAGAATCATCTTATCTTCCCGGTTTTCATTTATTTTAAGCTCCCACCAGAAGAAAGAGATTACTTTCTTCCGAATCAAAGTCAGTTAGACATGTTATGTCCAAGTCTCATTGAAAGACTGTCTGAGGTCGTAAATTCAATATTATCACATTCAACGAAAAACTCAGGTTTTTTAGCAGATTATTCTAAATCAGAGATATTTTCAAAGCATTCCAAGTGAGTTGTTACTCCTTAGTTTCTGCTTCACAAATCAGTTTACGCTTTAAATTTTCACCACTTTTTCATTGAAATAATTGGGTGGACATGTAAGATCTCTCTAATTTCATTGGCCTCTCTGTGTGATGATTGCATTGTTTACCGGTAAGCCTCAAAATCTCACAACTCCAGCTTTCGGTTTGAATTAAAAATTTAGATAACAGTAGTAGTTCAGGGTTATAAAAGTTAACCATTACAAATCACATAATTTAAAAAGTCAAGAACCATCATTCATTTTTTATTTTCATCCTAGAATGTACTACTTTCTAATACAGGTAGTATGAAAATAATAAGCCCAACAAAGTGATTTGACTTATATTCTTTGTAGTCCACTGAAATCAATTACATACTTCATAGTAGATTTACTTCAGATAATTGATATTATCCCTCAATACCGCATTTAAGATTAACCATATAATATATCTGCGATTCAAACAGAAATCTCACTATTAACATAAACTTTTCTTAGCAATTTTCTTCTTCTAAATAATTGGATAAGTTTCCGTCAGACTGATACTCCCTGACTTTATCATATTTGTGGATTTGAATATATCATATAACTTCTCTCCCATGTTTTCGGTTATAGATCTAATGGACGAGCAATTGAAAGCTGCTCAAATGCTAAAAGTATAGAATGTTTGAACCGTGAGTTAGGTAAGGAAACTAAATGGGAACTTAAAGATAGACATATTGGAGGTCTAGGCTGGATGCCAAATAGACAAACTTATTCCAAAAATTTACGTGAACCAAAGAGCTTGATAAAAGGAAATGAGAACGAAAAACATGTGATTACTGATGATGTAGATATCCTTGAAGCACTACCGGGTTTGGAAAAAAGTCGATTAATCGGAGACCATTGTATGTATGAATGATTATTTATGTATGCTTAATATTATTCTTTCTTTCATTGTATAACTGATATTAACTGATTAATTTTCAGCTACGTATTATTTATATTAGTAAAAAGACAACCGATGGATTAGAGATTCCAAATTTCTTTTATAGATTGGTTGGTTATGTCCTATCACCAGTTTTATCGTCTTTGATATAATGATTATCCTCGGAATTTTACCTGGTTTTCAGTTAGTCATAATTAATGTAGAGCCCACCACAAACGTGCATTACCCCAATTTGTCATCCCACAGTACAAAGAGGAAAATTTCACAAGATATGCAGCAAGGAGACTAAATAATGTAGTAGAAATGATGAGATATACTAAATAGTGAAGATGGTTCTAAAAGACAGCAAGGTATGTCTGGATGAGTACTAGAACTCAACATCTGAATGAAGATAAAAAGTGGATCCATCTACTTCACTGGGATCAATTCTGAACCATGTCACTCAATGTCTTTTACTACGGATCGTAGTTATCACTTTGACAACAGCCAGGCAGTCTAGACCTACCAATACTGCTTAGACCAATAATCAATGACTTCATGGACTGATGCCAAGTCTTAGTTTGGCTTCTACCAGCTGTCCTCCAACCTACTTCTACACCAGCTATTGACGTTCAACGAGACAGGTGAAGTTTGGGATACTGCTACGTTTGGAGAGATTACAATATCGCCTAAAACATGTGAACGGAACGAAAGTCAGCAATACTTCAACAGGACAAGCTGTGCTATTCCACTGTACCCTCACCCTGCTAACTAGAGATGGAAGACCAGATTCAGTCGAATGAAATGCCTATTACCCGGGCAGTCGGAAGCACGAGCGAACAAACACACAACTCATGCACATATATACAATACAAAAGTATTCTTGGAAAACGTCACAAAATAGCTTACTAAAAGAGAAAACGAACCATTTAAGGTCCTTCCATGTGGAAAATGCTAAAGAGGAAATTAGGAAGACACGTCGGGGGTGGTTAGGACATACCTTGCAGAAACCATTAATTGCATCATGAGGCAAGCCCTAACTTCGAATCCTGGAAGGAAACGGAAAAGAGGAAGGCCGAAGAACACTACGTTGGGAATTGGAAGCACGCATGAAAAGGATGAATAGCAACTGGAAAGGATTGTCCAGGACAGAGTTGGATGGAGAATGCTGATGGGCGGCCTATGCTCCTCCACGAGGTGTAACACTTGCAAGTAATGTGGGAAATACAGGTAAAGTAGGTGATTTTGACGCGAAAATGAGAAATTCAAATTCCCAAAATAAAATTGTGAAAATGAGACGTTTACCAAATGGTTCCTGGCGATCTAGCTTCCCCAACTGATACGCATTACTTTTCTCAATCACTTCAGTTGCTAAAGATTTATTAACTCATCAGCCAATTTAGCATCTTTACCCAGTACTCTTTGTTTAATCTCAACATCTTCCACTAGATTGTCCCAACACACACAAGCGCTACTTCGAAGACAGCCATCACCAAATACTTTCAGCATACGGACATCTCATGCTTTCCTAGGCTACGTTTCACAGTCAGAGTAGGAGAGATCAAACTGATGTGGAGCATATTCGTTTTTTAGTTGGGAGACGGACACCTCACCTAAATGACAAGTGACTCAAGTTGGAAAATGTTAGCCGGGCTTTCTGAATCCGTTTCGGGATTTCGTCAGGTGTCAACTCACTTGAGCTGATCAGACTTCCAAGAAAAGTGAAGTGGTCAGCGCACTCAACTACTTCACTTCTTATGACCAATCTAGACAATGGGGGAGAGAAATGCATCCCTAATATACGTGCTTTGTTACTAAAGGTGATCAAAAAAGTTCTAATTTCTTCAACATTTTCACTAAACACGGCCATATCATCTGTACACGCCATGTTATTAAGTTGGTTTCCAGGATGCATACCAATCGCTAAAAAGTCAAATGAAGAAAGAGCGATTTTTAATGAAGAGATTTGTGATGAAACCAAATAAAAAGTAGGGTAGTAAACAACCTTGACAAACACTGATAATTGTTATTCATAAGCTCTGGGATTATCATTAATGTTCAGGTAGAGAGCCTTCACAAAGTTAATGTACTTCGCTAGTGTACCTCTCAATGGCAAACATTGCCACAAAGTTTCTTAGTTAACTGAGTCGAATGGGACCTTAGTGTTAAAATTAAGCATAAAGAGGGATAATGGGTAACGCTGACGAACTTATTTCCATCATTGTGTTTATTCTGTGATGAAAAGGTAAAGAATACTAGATAACTAAATAGCTAATTAAAATTGTCTGTATTCTACATTCGTTATCTTATTTTTAAACATCTTGATTCGAGAAAAGGTGAAAATAAAAACGTAAACCAATATAACTAATATTGTTGACAAAATGTGAAGGTGGTTTTCATATTTCAAACGTTCCTAACTTGTACAGAAATGAAAGAAAACATGATTTCAACCTTGTACATAAATTCTTGTTGCTGCTGAATTGTTCCCCAGGTACTGTTTCGAACCTTCTGTCTTAAATCAGGAAGATCAAGTCATATGGGTATTGTTTAATCACTTATAAATTTGTAGGCTATGATGAAACTATAATTCCCGGGTTTCAGTATTTAACATTTCAATATCGTATTACAATGATAAATTCCTTATCGACTTACATTTGACCTGTCAAGTAGTATCTCCATTTATTATTCACAAAATATGGTATTGTAGTGAACGAGAACACGAATGAGGACAATCGAATGTGTTTGAACACAAAATTACAGAACATCTTAGTAAAATCTGAGAACCATATAGTAAATACTTAATTTGCAAAATATCAGTCAATCGTCTCACACTTCATTGTTCTTTCGTTTCCACACTAATCATTCTTTGTTCTCGTTCTGTTTTCTTTGATCTTCTTAACCTTCTGCCGCCAGACATATTACTTTCTATTGATAATACATACTACTTATATCTATCGACATCAGTAGCACACCACAGTATATCTGTTTATTCATTTACTGAAGTGCTTGTAATTATTAAGTTTAACTGAAGGTTATACAAAATTTGTTTTACATGTAAGAGAAGGTTTTGTTGTCAGTTTCTTATTAAATGTTACTTATCATAATTTCTAATTATGGTGTTGATATAATTTACCACATATTACATTTATAAAATTAAGATATGGAAACATTTTATCGATAATTTAAATCATTCAAATACAAATTAAGGAACAAGACGGATCAAACACTCTTTGATCTATTTATAAAACTATTTGACCTTAACTACTCTTTATGCTAATAAAAACTAAATTCATGAGAGATACTCGGTGTATCTGTTGTTTAAATTAGCAAGAGTGGGATTAAAGTATCTCCATAATCTGTTTTATGAGTTCAAGTGTAACGTTCACACTACAAATAGTGATTCCTTCTCATTTTATTTTTTTCGGAGTGAGATGGATAAAAGGTGAATGTTTATAACAGATAATTAAATTGATTGTAGTAGATATTCAGCCTTTCGCTCTATTTTCCGGTGGTTTTATGAATGATTGAGACTTGTAATGGCATCATGTTTGTAATTTGGAACTAATCTTTCTATGTAACTTTGAATGAAATGATATTTTCTTCACCGTCTACTCATAATAATATTTTTTTAAACAGATTATTTGACATTAAGTGACTCGGAAGGTGATGATGGCGACAACGTTAGGATGAAATCAAAAGCCGAATGTTCGCTAACAAAAAAACAGAAGAGGATATCTACTCTATACCAAGCAAGTAGGAAGAAAAAAACTAAGAATAATGATGATGATCCAACTTGGAGTATGCCTAGTAGGTTGAATATTTGTTTTTTGCTATTTAAAAAATTTTCACTGGGTAATTTATTCGCCTCCGTGTGAACATTTGTCAGTATTTGAGCAAATAGTTTGACAAAAATTGGGCTCCTAGTGTATAGAGGACATTCTATGTAAAAAAATGTATTAAAATGATCTCATCGATTGAAATTTAAGTAATTTGACTATTCCAATTAAAGAAGTTCAAACCAGAGTACCAGATGGAGTGTTAGAGTGATCTAAATTTCGATTGCTGAGATCATTCAAATATAATTGTTTCATTTAACGCTATTCGCCTTTAGTTTGAAATTGCGCAATATTACTTATCTTCGACTTTCAAAAATCTGTCTTCATTTCCTGATGCGGACGTTCTACCATTGATCACTGGCTGTCATTCAAACAATATAAATGTTACAAATTGAAATTCGTGATACAATTGAGATTGTTTAGTTCCATTATTTTTAGGGATTAACATAACATTCAAGTAATTTTTACTGCATACTAATTGTGATTATTTATGAGCATTCGTTTTTGATCCTAGACACTTTTTAGTCATACAAGCCATAATTTTTCGCAAGAACTTAGTGTATTTTCTTTGCGGAACGAGTTATTTTCATATACAGAAAATATTTCTGTAAGTTCAATTATATTCAAGTAGGTTGGTTGGTATTTTTCCTAAAATCTGCCACAACTCATGCATTCACTAGTTGATTTTGACGTAATTGATATACCATGCAATTGTTTCGCTTTACAAATGTAAACAGCAAATTACGTCATTCTCGCTTTGTTGAAGTACTTAATATAAGATATTTTCCCAGTAAAAATCAAATACAAGGAAACATGTATCAATCCAAAAAATTCGTTCATACTCCATAAGTTCTTATCGTTTCACTCTTATTTGTATATAATAGCTTTAGCAGTTGAGGCGTATTGTTGATGAATTTTAACCGTTATAGTAAAGGAATTTATCAGTCTAGAACTACATCATTAATATGTTAACTTGTATTTATAATTAATTCATACTGGCTACTCTCATCAACATTTACTAATAAGGTTAATAAATTTTAATTAGTATAAGTTTCCATCACTATCATAATTCTTTCCGAAACAAGAAAATCAGAAAAGATTAAAAACTTAATTGTTCACTTAAATAGTATTAGAAGGCTATCTATTCGTAAAAAATAGGGGAGTGATTACTAGTGAATCACTCCTTCTGATCCTAAAGTGTGTCAGTTAACGTACCTGACCATCAGTTTATGCTTGCCTATGTATATTGTTTTAGTTTGGGCATTTCAATGCAGTGTTGACTAGATTTACAGTCCAAACCTTTTCACTGATTTAGCAATCTTCCCAGTCTACTATTTCAGTTGATAGAATTCATCAGGTTTTTTAATTGTCGGATTTTTTAAAATATATCCTAATATACTCAGTTGTCATTTACTTACATCCTCCAATTGAACATTGAAATTACTGTTAGCTTAGTTCCATCAGTTTTTGTAAGTATTATGAAGAAAGCTCAAGAGGTTTAAGTGCTCTCAGAAGATGTTATGGTTCATATTATCAAAAAACTGTGAGTTACTGTATCTCAATAGCTAAGTGCATCTACGATCACCAGAATATACGTTGTTGTTTTTCTTCCTGTTACATTTAAAGATTTTCTGTAATGTATTTATGCATATATATAGTATGACATCTGGTTGTGGTACAAGTTAATCGGGCTTTAATATAATCTCATTCGACCTACAGGCTTTAAAGTAAGAATCTTTCCATAAAGCTAACAGTATTTAGTATTCCTTTCACATAGGTGTAGAAATAAATTCTCATTTATCTACCCTTATCATGTAAGTACTTAGTCAGTCTTCAACCACAATGGGAACGGAAATATTGTTATGAGCACATGTTCTATTCATCTTACTCCTATTTTCAAGTCTTTTAAATTGTAAAAAGTGTCTTGTCTATTCTGAAAATAATATGTTTCTAGTTTAACATCAGCAACTGGTCGTACATTTATCTTTTTCTACATTATTTTACTTTACAGGTCCTACGCGTCGCAGGTTTGGTACAACTGAATGGAAGTCAAAGAGTTCACGACTTGTTGTTTCTAATTTAAAAAGAGATAAAAAGTCATTGGTAAATGCTTCTAGTGTTTAACTAATATAATTTTTGACTATTCAACGCGATTTCCTATCCACAAATGATACTGTTGGGACATATTTAAACCAGTCTAGATCATGTAATAATTAATTTGTTAGTAAATATCCAAGCTCTATTTCCTGTTGTTATCATTGTTTGGCTTTATAAACACTAAGTATGACAAGAGCAATATAAGCTGTAAATTTATTAAACTAGTCAAGGTATTGAGGTTATCTAACACTCGACCCACTTAACTAGTATTTTTGGTTTGATGAACATGACAACTTGAGTTAACCCATTCAGAGTTCTTTATTCTTTCCAATTCCTTTTCACCCTTTTTTAGAACATGATGAGTCAATGATTACAACTGACCACATTCAGGCCGTTACTCCGTGCTATGTTGTTGAGATGTAGCCTACTCACTGTTGATGTTTTTTCAATATTCTTCTTCACTTGTTTTAGCCTGTTTTTGAGAACTTATCACTAAATCCTCTATTGTTGTGGCTACTATCAAACTGCTTATCCTAATAAGTTTAAACAGTTAAGAATCGTCTATTACAGTTTCTTATGCATTAGAGTGGCTACACAATTCACATGAACAGTCACAAGGAAACCCCTGTTATATTCTCCAGAAACCCGTCAACTCAGTCCCCAACAAATAATAGAGAACGAATTTTTTCAAAACCTCTACAGGCGATAACAGTAAAAAATACGTTGATACTTATAGAGAAATCAGAAGTGTACTTGAGAACTATTCAATGAGAGCACGAGTTGAAAAACACCAGCTTCAATTCAATAGTACACATGCGCCCTAGGATCCTAAAGAAGCAAATTGCTTATGAGCCTGCTTTTTCTTTTCACTACCATGATACTACACATCCCTTCATTGCTCTATCTTTTTATGGGTTAGGCCTTTACGTTAAAAGGTTTAGAGAATGGTCGTATCTCATAATCAGTATCATAGTCTGCATAACATTAGGAATAAAAAAATATCTTTTTCAAAAAGTTTTGGACAAGAAAGAACAACTAAACTATTCTGTAGAATATATTCTTGTATTTTTAATCCGAAGTCTCGTGTGAATTTCTAATGGTATCTGAATTAACATAGTATGTTTGATCAATAACACTTGATTTCTCAAGTTACTTATCTTCACTGTGGTTAATCGTAGCATGATATGGCTATATACATTAATGTTTATTATTTACTAAGTTAGTGGTTGTATGGATTATCGACTAATAAATTATTTCAATAGTTGGGATCATGAGTCAATTGAAGCTAGACCACCATAGTAAACCTAGAAGCACTGGACCGTTTCATCCTATTGTGGGATTCCTCAGTAGTGCGCACCTGCGATCCCGTCTTGCGAGATTCGAACCCAGGCGCGGTCGTGGGTACGCACTGCTAAGAAGTCTCACAATAGGACGAAACGGTCGGTCAGTGCTTTCAGGCTTACCTTGGTGGTCTAGCTTCAATTAACTCATGATCTCAACTATTGAAATTACCATACTATCCACAAAGACCTCTTCTGATATCAATAGATTATTCTTTAAAATGTTTATATTCCTTTGAGTATTTTATAAAATTTTATTTATTAAAACAATGCAGTAGTGCAAACTGTCTCCGTGTACATGGAATGCATGACTTTTTGTTATGGAACACTTCACTTTTCATTTATTTTCTACAGCACCCTCTACTCAGTGAAGTGAATCCATCATCATCAGGCTCGAGTGCTTTAAAACCCAGAGGTTAGTATGAACCAATTATAGTCTGTGAATTTTCACTTCTTCCTCTCGGTAGTTATTAGTTCATTTCCTGGTTAAACTAATTTGATTTAACCAGATTCATAATGTTAACAAACGTTGTTGTGTACAAATATGTTATTGTTTACTAAATTGTAGCAGGACTAATAACAACCCAGTATGATTTGATTTATTTAGTTTAATTGACAGTAAATCTGTCTATTTTTCTGCTCTTTGAACAAAGATTATTGTCAGCATAGTTATGGATACATAAATAAAACAGTACAATATTTATTACATAGTTTTGAATGGTATTTTTTTAAATCATACGAGTTGTAATCATAGTAACAAATTTTTGGGTTGTTGTCAGTTGGGAACCTTTGTTCTCTGAAATAAAAACGGGACATTTTTCTAAAAGAGAAACTAAGGACGCTTTATACTGACATTTAGCTACCTTTAAAATTCCTAGTGTTACAGATGTCATGGATTTCATTGGATATATATATATATATATATATATATATATATATATATATATATATATATATATATATATATATATATATACCTCTGTTACTATTATGCTGTAAATTGAAACAATTAATTTGATTGGTTTTTAATTACCACTGAGTCATGAATGTGTCCGTTTAGTCGTTGTTCTTTTTGTGTCTTAATTTTAAGAGATGGCAACAAGAATCTATTGTTTTGTTTATTTACTCCTTTTTTTCATATTTATTTGTCCTAATTTTCTTGTTGCTTTCCTTTCCTTCCCTCTTTTATCCCAATAGATTCTTCAACATTGCGTCCGCATATGACAGTAAAAACACAAAAACCACGAACTAAACGCAATACAACAGTTAGACAACGTCTTGCTAAACGTTTAGGTATTTAATTCATTTTAGCAAAGTATGGATGTTATTTATTTACATATTGTCTATTTGTATGCTTATCAATTACAAGTTTACTAATATTATTCAATACTATCAGTGGTAACTCTAATTTTATACTTTTTTCTACCTACATATATAAAGTGAATTATTTGGACCGTATAGATTTGTAAAACTTATTTCCTCTCTACTAACGATATCTATATACATGTATACATATGCACACTCAAGTTAGCAATTCTTATCCGAATGTAGTATAATATGGTCGTGATCTAAGGAATTTTTCAAATAACTCCAGTTTTATTATTGTTATTACTAACTGTAGTAGCGGTATTACTATTAACAAGTGCAGCATACTTATCATGCATACAATGACCTTTTTTAACCATATTTCAAATAGTTCTTCTGAGTTATTTTTTATTCTTATTTGTTCACTAATAATGCCATTCAATTTGTGTCCCATACTTTTATCTCCTTATTTTAGTTATATTTTAAATTTGAGAAATGTAAACTTTAATTGCATTTATGTATAATCATGCTGATTATGAAATAGTTAAATAACTGACTGTTTCCCTCCAACTTCATCCATTTCTTCGTGTAATTTCATTAATTCCACCTCATCATTATTCACATATCTCATCCTCATTTTCTCTAGATCTCCAGGACCATTCATGGAATATGTTCTAAAAAGTATATATATATATATATATATATATATATATATATATATATATATATATATATATATATATATATATATATATATATATATATATATATATATAAGCATCATTCGGCTACTCAGTAATAGTAAGAATCTGTTTTATTAGGTATATTCTCTTGTTTATCACGTTTGTTTTTTAGTGGTTTTATTGGTTACTTGTTCACTGATATGTGTGTATTTTGTAATACTACGTTATTTATTCACTTTGTTATCGTTTGTTACTATTATTGGGTTTTTTTTACTTTACGTACATGTTTTATAAATATTTGTTTATTTGCATCCAAATGGAACTAATGTTTTCCCTGTTTTCATTCATTGTTTACCTAGCTCATTCTTTTTGAAATGTTTGTTGGTCTTTGTTAAAAAATTTTTTTTATCATTAGGTCTTATGTAAATTGTTTTTGATTGAAATAAATATTGTTATAATAATATATTATATACATGACCGTCTTTCGTGCTTTCGGCGGTCGGTTGGGTAAAGTGATCTACCCATTATTAATGGCTAACACTAGTATTAAAACTTGGAACATTATTATGGTAATACACATTACGTAATACACCTAGCAAAAAGGCTCGGTAACAAGAGGTTGTTTTGATTAGTATTCATGCAACGGTGTTTGTGCTGATTAGCTATTTTCGTGGGAATGTTAATAATTATATACCAGACTTAAATCCCAGAGAGAACACCTAGTTTGTTATGTTATGCAGTGTTGTTTCTTAAGTACTCATTAGTAGGGTTCTCCAGTTTGACATCCTTTGGATGAAGATATTTGTGTCCGTATTTCACCATTCTCAGTGACATCCAGCCTATCTGCTGGTGAAGAAGCCGTATTTCAAAATTTCAGTGTGAATTAGGCTCCCTCAGTAGACTTCAAGGGGATATAAACAATTTATAACTAGGTACAAATCTACGAATTCAAGTTGTCTCTTTTCAGATCTACCGATCGGGAGAAAAAGGTCAAATTGGAAAAATAATATTAACTGTATTGGCATTTATATCAATAGGATTCAAGATTGTAAGGTATTAAAGACTTAGAGAAAGATACGGAGTGATTTGGTACTCATCACTGTGACTTGTTTGCAACCATATCAACTTAAGTCCCTAGTTATTGATTATATTGACATATCTCAACTCAATAATGATTCCTATGAAAGCCAATTTGAAGTCTGATCAGTATAATATATTAATAATTATCTAAGAGTTTCAGTTTATCCGTTATGGCAGAGGAATATGTGTGTTTGGTTGTCTGAATTAATATGAGGTAGTCGAACGATGCTTAATCACGGAAACAAAATTAAGTTCTATGTAGTCACCCAAATTGATGAATATCAGTAGGAAGATTATTTGGTTAAAAAAAGTTTTACCAGTCTATAAATCATCTCATTCCTAGAATAGAGTACAAAATAAATGAGAATTGAAATAATGCGTTTGATATGGAGAGCCAGTCAGAAGTAGCTCAGTGTGAAGGTCAGCCGGTGACAATCAGAAGTGACCCAAAGGACAAGTGCGTTTCATTGGCTAGGAAATGGGTAAATTTCCTCACTCAAATAGTCAGCTGGGGAGAGGGTTTAATGCGTAGCACACCGTGTATCAGTATCAGATATTGGACACCGCCTATCACAACAGCATTGCCTATCGGGACACCAGCTTATTTAAAATTCACTGAACATTCAACGGATATAAGACTGAGAATTCTTGACGAAGGTGTTCATCGATTTCAGGATCCAAACACTGGTCACCAATGTGATTCAGTTGTCGCACGACGTTGCAGATTAATAGCAGTTGGTATAGTGCCACTGGAGACCGACCTAGTGTTTGTTATTAGTTAAGGGTTCATCGTGAGAACTAAGTTTTTTGGGTTCGATCCTTGGTGGCATTACGTAATACTCACTGCTGGAAAGTCTCGCACAAGGGCGAATAGGTTGTCCAGTGATACATGGATTTTAATGGTACTTCAAATGAGACTAATTTGCGGTAAACAGGACCTATAAGTTAAACCACTCTGTAACCCCTTTAACTAGCCTTTGAATATGCTAGTTACTCGTTTCCTATGACATTGATGGACGAGAAAACTCAAACGTTCTTGATTCCTCCTGATTTCCAGGGTACTAAAAGAGAGATATGTTTATTCGGTGTAACCTACAAATTAGGTATTTGTTCATTTACAAATGGCTCGGTAGTATATCACTAGCAGTGATCAATCGATAAATTTTCATGTATGGACTTACATAATGGTACCCCTTTGGCTTCATTCCAGCGGTTAGTGATTATTTGACAGTTCTAAATTTTGCTGACCATCCTGTTTTATTCTCCTCGAACTAAGGTTGACATTCGAGATGAACCACTGATATAATGACATTTGTTTATCTGGTTTAATGCAAATATAATGTATATTTCAGTGTCTTATATACTTCTGTTATGGCCTGTCAGTATATCACGTGACTAAATGGCCAATTAGAAACACCGGCCTATATGACCAGGCCAATGACGCATAAACTAGTACGAGCAGCTTAGAATCAACTCTGGCATAGTAGCTTCTCGCCTAACCCAGTCGGTCCAGTCCAGAACACCAATATCACCCTTTGCTATATGAATCATGTATTTCAGACACATTTGGTTTATGTTTACATACAAACAAACCAGACTGCATCATACCGTAAAATAGAAAATAATAATTATACAAGATCAGGCCAAAAGTGGCTGTGAGTGTGAGGTATTGTAATTAGTAAATTGGGAATAACGTAAGATTAATAAATCGTGTATTGGTGTGGTGTGTGTTACTAATATCGATAGATAAAAGTAGTATGTATTATCAATAGAAAGTAATATGTCTGGCGGCAGAAGGTTAAGAAGATCAAAGAAAACAGAACGAGAACAAAGAATGATTAGTGTGGAAACGAAAGAACAATGAAGTGTGAGACGATTGACTGATATTTTGCAAATTAAGTATTTACTATATGGTTCTCAGATTTTACTAAGATGTTCTGTAATTTTGTGTTCAAACACATTCAATTGTCCTCATTCGTGTTCGCGTTCACTACAATAGTAGTCAATAGGTCAAATGGAAGCTTATATTAAAAGGAATATTAGTATACATATAATATAGTTACCTAATAGTTATCCATTAAGAATATATGTAATAGTAGTCCATAAATAATTTCTGGCAGTTACCACTCATACTCCGTTAGGATCTAAGAATTTCGCTCATATCTAAAAGCTGGACTTCCTCTTTTCGTTAAGAATCTCTAGAAATCAAGAAAAATTTAATATCTTGTTGCATTTTAAGTAAAGATTCCGAGGGATCGAGTAGACTTACTTTATTGCATTACCAACTAAACTAATTGTAGAAATCTTACATTGTGTCGAATATAGCGGCCAATCTTGATAAGGTACACTACTACTTTATGTACTTAATTTTAATTGAAAATGAAGTCAAACAGAACATACCATTAACAAAATAGTTACCTTTGATAAGTTTTCCTTATTACTGTGAAACTGACCAGTAATTTACTGTAATTAGTTAGTGTTCATCATTAACGGTAAATCATTCATGTCCCCAGCAAGTATAAAAGCCGGTTGATTGTGGAAAACTACTTTATTAGATGTAGCTTTAATAAAATAGTCTGCTTTCTCACTGGTTAACAGTAAAATAGGTGGTTTCACTTTTTTTGTCAAAATAATTTCGTGCTGTCTAGGACTCTTACCACTTGCATTATTTATATAATTCATAACATACCATACTAACTTGTACACATTTATATAGAGATATTTTTTCTTAACGTGTTTTTTATAGAAAATCTGTGGATAAGTAATATAAAGATCAGACAAGAAGTCGATAAAAGGAACAGCAAATTGTACTTAATTATTTTATTAAACATATTGACAATATATATTACCTAGTACTCGTAACTGTATAGATACATTAATTTGTTTTTGAAATGATGATAATATAATTACGAATAAGATCTCGAACTCGCCTTTCGTTTTCATTTAAGAACTATCAGTTTAGTTTTTCTGCATTCCATCATCTTAGTGTTTTTCACTGCTATTGGAACTTTGTTAGTATAGTGGTTTATGACGTGAATTTGTTTATGATTTAAAGATTAAATAAATTAGTATCTAATGAAATGTATATTCTTACTTCTGCATATAGTTTTATTCCTGTTGATCAGTTCAATCATGAAAATATAAGCAAGGTGAAACTACAGAATTCATAAAGTACTATCAGGTTTTCATTCTTTTTAGCTGCCTTTATACATATTATAACCTTTAACATAATTATAACGGTCATACATTAGTTTAACGACTCGTTTTGTGCTTTTATTCTTTAATCTGACTTATTTCATAAGGTCAACCAACTTGACATAATTACAACAAAAACATCATGTTTCATTGGTTGAGATCGTGAGTCAATTGAAGCTAGACCACTATGGAACATCATGTGTCAAAAAATGTTTGTCTGATAATTTATGAATTATTTTCAGACGTTTATTATCGTGTGAATATTCACTAGTCACCTATAAATCATTATTCATATTAGTTACATTCATACCATATTAGGGTTTTATTTAATTTTTTTTTAAAAACAAAAAGTATGATTAATATTTGAAAGAAGAATATTCTATTCAATAGATTTTCTTTAAGTTCTGCATTATTTCTCTAATCCTATCTGACCCATATTTATTCGGATCATGAATCTTAAATTTTCACTTAACATATAAACATTCTATTTGAGTCATATCAACATGAACAATTTTATTCTATTTTATTTGACAATCCTAAATTTAAATGCTTTAACTTTAAACGATGTACTTTGCTCTAAACATGACCATTTTTGGATTACTAATTTGGATATATGAATTGTAGAACCTGAAAAAATTTTATCGAAAAGAATATTCTTCATTCAAAAATTAGACTTTTAATATGATGGGGATCATGAAACAATTAAAAGTATGATTATTTTGTCTGAACAAATGTAAATTAACTAATAATTAGTATAATCGAATCACTTGAATTTTCATTATTTAAACACAGATATATTATAGATAATATAAATCTGTCAGTAGATGTATTTGCTCGCAATATATATATATATATATATATATATATATATATATATATATATATATATATATATATATATATATATATATATATATAGGTCTACAATATCTTTTTTTAACATACTTTTAGGTGTAAATCTTCATTTACAAATAGTCGATATCTTGTTGTAATCAGATATGAATAAAAAGTGATCGTTTAATTTGCATTACATATGAATAACCATGCAGTATTTATTTGTCACATATTTTGCAATCACTAATTTTCATTCGTAAAAATGTTAAATTACAATTTGAAAAAAAAGAAGAAAACTATTTTACCGATTCTAGTATAAGATTTTATTGTAAACGAAAATAAGTTTATAGAAAAATTTCAGAAACTTACAATGGTCAAGCTTGATAAGACTTAAACTAAATAAGATTCTACTAATTTGTAATTAATGCAGAATATATAAAAATGGATGCGTATTGCTGAGGAGTCCCATACTAGGACGAAACGGCCATCCAGTGCTTCTAGGTTTTCCATGGTGGTCTAGCTTCAACTGACTCATGATTTCAATCTGTGAGATATAAAAATGAATTTAATTCCCAATTGTAAATGGTTTGTCGTAATGAATGATTTTTTAATAAAAATTAAACTTTAAACAATTTATCAACATCTAATTAATGTACTTAGTTAGTCTAAGATATATGTCTTACTGAAAATAGATCCTAAATTAAGCTACTGGTTCATTTTTCAGAAATATGTATTTTGATATTGCGAAAGTTCATATACTGAGTTATAATACTGTAAATAATTATATTTAACGTTTTAATACACAGAGATTCATGAGAAAATTGTTTATCTTTCTAGAATAATTTCTCTTTATTCCATGACAATAAGCATCATTATGGTAGTTTAATTTAAAATTATTTATTATACCGGTAGACTCTGTAATTATTTTTTACCTACTGTCAGAGATGAGTGTTTTAATGTTTTGTTACATTCAAAACCAGTGATTAATAAATTCTAAGATTCTTTTTGTTTCGATTATGATATTTTGGTTAAAGTCATACATAAAGAATCGAGATTTGGAAATAAAAATTTTTGTTTGTTTTTCCTGATTTAAAACCATTACCACTTTTCTAGATAAAATGATGGTAGAATGCCTTGTAATGTTTGTCGGTTTCCCCTAATTTGATGGATAAGTGAGAAATCTTGATCTATACTAGTAAGTATTTCGATTCATACTATTTCATTTACTTGCGTGTAAATTAAATAAGTCCATCAAGAGAAATATTATAATAGTATGAAATGTATTTCATATGATCGTACAAATTTATCGCATATTATTACATTTAGTTACATTATTTCGTCATCTATACCATTGTATTTTTATATAACTACACACCTTTAATAGAGTAATTCCATTTCAAGCATGTGTTAAGGCTTCAAATAATGTATGATTATGTGATAATAAATTTGTGTGATAAAAAATTATCTACATGCACTTTAGTTCCCATAACATTATTATCATCAACTTCAAAATGAAAAGCAGAATGACCTTTAGATCTATGAACAACTCAGATATATATATATATATATATATATATATATATATAGAGAGAGAGAGAGAGAGAGATTGTGTGCTTTATAATTACAAAACAGAAAGTAATAAAAAATCATTGATCAATTTCATAAAATCAAGTTCTGACTCATGATCTGGATTTTTTAGATACATTGATGAACATTTTTGTGGTAATTTGATATTGATGTTTTGCACCTCTGAATTATTTCACTGACCTAAATGATAATAACCGTATTACAGTTTGTGAGCCTCAACCAATGGGAAGAGAGATTTTACTTAGTTGACCAATCCAAAGTACAGTTATTAAAGCACCTTCAAATGTTAGCACAAAACGTAGTCGAATCCTCATTAGGAAAGTTAATTTGTGGTTATTACATAAGTTTCAGGTTATCTGATTGATTATAAAGCCAAATGAAATGAATCTAGAGAATGGGATTTTTAACAGTTCACAAATAAGTATTAATGACAACCTTGAATGCAAACCAACCTTACAAAATAAACTTGAGCTGAAAGTTACTTCTCAGTCTCAAATGACATTAAATGGGACATCACTCTGTGTCAATGTAAATGAAGACATAACAGATATGCCAATGAACTTTAATTTAAATCAGACTGAGTGTATTTGTCAAGTACTCTATAATAACCAGGAAACTGATAGGTTGAAGACATTTCTCTCGAAAATATCAACGACTACAATGTATCATAACAATGAAGTCATTGTGAAATGCAGAGCACTAGTTTTATTTGTCAATAAAGAATTTACCGAATTATTCAAAATTTTAAATAATTTTCCATTTAGTGTTTGTAATCACAATGAAATGCAAAATTTATGGTATCAAGCTCAATATGCACAAATAGAGATATCACGTGGTCATCAGTTGAACGCTGTAGCCAAATATCGTATACGTAAGAAATTCCCACCACCGAACACAATATGGGATGGAGATGAGGTGACGTATTATTTTAAAGATAAATCAAGAAATTATTTAGCTGAACAGTTTGCGCACAATCCATATCCGTCTATTATGGAAAAACATTTCATGGCTAAGAACAGTGGTCTTACTATAACACAAGTATCAAATTGGTTTAAGAATAGAAGACAACGTGATAAAACTCTTAATAACTTTAAAAGTAGATGGTAAGTACCGTTTTTTTCTTCTTTAAACTGCAGCTTAAGGGATATAATTTGTTCTTATTACCCCATGATAATGTTACTAAGAGGAAAATTGGGCTTTATGGTAGGCGTATTATCCAGTTTTTGTCTCCCCAAAGAAGTTATCGCTTTCATCTATATTAAACCTGATTCCATAGTATCAGGGCTCACTTAATTGATGAGGAGATCAATTACAGAATACTGTTTAGTATTTATGGACTCCAGTAGGCTTGTGATATTTTGATTATACTTTAAACAGTAACTATCAGTCTTCAATCGTCAGTTAGTTAACTCCATATGCCAATAGAATAACAACCCATTAGTCCTAGTCCTTCTGATTTAAGAGTGGTGCGATTTGTAAAATTGTGGGAACTGTATTTTAAAGGTTGGAGTTAAATGTGCCTAGTATAGATGATATTCAAATGAATACAAAGCACCATCAGTGACTTTTGGTTCCTAAGGCTAAGTGAATCTCCAACTCAGGCAACAGTCTTAGAGAGAAGAAAGATTTATATTAAAGTGTCTATAAACAATATTGCCTGCAGGGTAAATCCATTCTTTTTAACATTAATGATGTGCTCAGTTTTTGGTAGTTTAAGCTGAAATTCTTAAGTAGATTTAATACGTCATAGTAAGGATGTACATAATTTCATCTTAGATTAACCGATACAACCGCTGCATTAGTGTATTATTGATATTAAACTGGAAAAAATTCTTTAGAGTTTTTACTGAAGCTAGATGGTGTTCTATCGCATTTACAAAATTCATTTCTGTTACATTTATCATATGCTTATTTTAGTTAAATATTGGAAATGTTAGGCTACCACTGTTAACTTATCTGTACAAGTTAAATTGTGATAAATAAATAAATCACTTTACAGATCCGAAAACGTCATCAGTTAAATGGAGAGTAGAACTAAAATTATCATTTAAAACACAAATTCGTTTGAACTACTACCTTTTTTTGCTGATATATTATGACAGGCATAATATGACTGAGAATAATCTTATCGTTGATTTAAAGCTGAGAAATGTTTCTCAGTGTATATAGACTTAACTATTCACAAATGACAAAACAATGAAAGTTTTGTACTCACTCATGGAATGATCTGAAGGTACTCTAAGTTGACTTGAGTATGTGAGTGATACAATCTGACCATAAATTGTTAAGAAATTTGAAAACAACATAGCAAATAATCTTCAGCATCCCGACGTAAATGTCATTCTTCGGCATCAAATTGTTCTTTTAAATCACTGTTGAACAGTTTCACAACTTATTTGGTCTTCAAGTAATACTTTGCAACCGTAAACTCCATTGTAGATGATAAGTCTCATTTATTTTTAGTAATTATATAACTCATTAACCAAGTACAAGTTAGTGTACTTGGCTTTGAATCACACTATATGATAGCTAAGGACACTACTTCATTACCTAAAGTAGTCGGGAAATAGATATTCAAATCTTCAGTTCAGTGACTGAAAATTAAGCGTTTTAACTACTAGACCACTTGTACACTATATATATATGTCTACTTAAGATTATAAATAAGCAATCCTTTATGGGCGAATATTAAGATAAACAATAAGATCAAAAAAAGTTTTCAGTCTAAACAGGGCTAAAGGATTTAAATTATTTATAATAGTTGATGAATAAATAAATAAGGTACTTAAATTGAAGTACCAGATTGTTTTACATACAGTGAACAAACTGTCATTTCCAAGGTTGTTGTTGTTTCATTTTTAGTGTTTACATTTTCATTTGTGATTGTCAATATAATCAAACATTTATTCATAATTGAAAGAATAATAATGATTTCACGATATTTATCATTTTACAAGAAATCTGATTATTTTGACTGTAAAAGAAGCATTTTATTTTCGTGGTGAAACACACCCATAATTCTTATTTAGAATTTCTAGTTACACTGAAATTGTCGATGAGAAAACACTTCTAAAAATATATCTAAACAGAATTAGGACTCAGTTTTTTTCCCTGAAACATTGGTACTATTTACAGATTGGATATTAATCATCAAACGGATTTAAGGGCAAAATATATGTTAGTCTTATAATGTCAAATGCCCAACATAAGGTCATACAAAATTAGATCTTTCTGACTTGACCAATCGACGTAAGTGGTATCCAACCGTTTAAGAAGCTTGACTTAGTTCTCTAGGACCGATCTAAATATACTGTAGTGTCGGTTACCATGTTTAGCTCATATAACTTATTCTAGCTTGTGGATAAGTCAAGTTATCCATTCTTCTTGAGTCACGCTTTGATTTTGTCGATTGTTCACTTATCAACCCTGACTGATTTTATGTAAGCGTATGTGTATGCACTTATCCTATTCATCACATGTCTGTAACCTACTTTTATCTGGCTATAAATACTGATTAACTCTTGATTAAATTGAGTTGGCTTACACGCTTTCTCCACTGAACGTCCTTTAGTCTCGCTCCGCTTTCTCTTCTTCGCTTTATTCGCTGCGATTCTCTGATTGTCTGTTCCGTATTTAAACATCCATTCTCGTATTTGACTCATTTAATTCGGCTATTCACCAACGCGAGTTAAGTCGATAATTTTATATGAGGATTGGCGATATGTATATTTTGACAAAAATCATTCATACAATCCAATTGGGATCACATCCCGGACCACTAAAATACAAGTTTGCCTGAAATGGTTAATGTGCGTAGGCAGTCAGAGCAAGTTTACTCTTGGATATTTATGTCCAATTCTGGCATATGTAATCGACTTATTAATTAATTAATAATTGAAATAACTGTTTACCAGAGAATTTACTGTTTAATAATTTTCTAGATAGAGGTTTAATTTCTTCTAAATAGTTGTCACCCATTTCTTTTAAGAAACTATCCTAAAATAACATGAGAGGGCATTTTCGATTTTTCTATTGTAATTTTTCATTAGCTATACATTACGGTTTGTAAATCGAATAGGTGACTAAGTTTTTGAATTATTTTTCTAACGAATAATTTGAGTGTGACTTTACAATGTAATTTGAAGCAAATAAAATACGATCGATGATCATTGTTAACTAATTAATTTGGCGCAATCTGTTCCTATAAAATTTGAATATGGTCTTCAGAAGAAAAAAATTTCATATTATGATCTGTAAGCCTATAGACAGATAATTTTATACCTCATAGTTGTGTATTTAAAAATTAGTACGTTAATCTGAATTGGGTTTGTGACTTAAATTCACCCTCCTTTCATTTATTACATTATGGGACTTATTTATACTGGAAAATGCTCTAAGAATTATATCAGATGTTGTTTATGTACATTGGAATCTTTTAATTATGTGTTTAGGGAATATCAGATTATGACTTATTTGATAGCTAAAATAAAAACAATTCCAGTCCCTGTCACCAAAATTTTAAGGGAATCAGTGATATATATATATATATATATATAACTTCCGTTTACTTTCTTCATAGAAGTAAGAGTAACCTCTTTAGCCGAAAGAATCCTATCAAATCGTATTTTTCTTAACTGAATTGCTTCTTTCATTATTATTATTATTATTTTATTAATATCACTTCCCCGACCGTAGCTGCTACCTTGACGCGGTGGTCGAGCTTGCCTATCGTGATGACCCGACCGAGCTATATTGGCTGGAACATATGTTCCTGTAGGTTCTACCATGCCAGACATCTTTTGACATGGCGACCCTCTAATTCGTCCCAACGTTGGACCCAAATAGATCACATCGCTATCAGCCACCGATGGGGGGGCTCGATAGAAGACTGTCGCTCATTCTGGAGCACATGCTTAGATTCAGATCATGCTCTAGTACGAGCGCGTATCTGTCTGCGTCTTACTGGACGTAGGAAAGACGCTGCAAGGAAACCTCTTAGGGTCCTACTTAATGATAGTCAAGCTAAGAGTATATTTCAGGAACAACTAGGAAAACAGTTAGGCAGCCATGTATGTGATGCCCACCCCGAGGCAGCATGGAATGATATCCGAAAAGCTGTGGAAACAGCAGTGATATCTGCTAGTAAGGTAAACTACAAGATTAGGGATCTCAGCAGCATCTATCTCACTGATAGATGCTCGAAAACTCATTCCACCTGGCTCTGAACATAATGAAGAGCGGAGTCAGCTTAAGCGCAAGCTGACAAGAAGTCTACGCAATGATCGCGAACAGTGGTGGGTAGCGAAAGCAAGAGAGATGGAAAAGGCAGCGGCAATAGGTAATAGCAGACAATTGTTCAGACTCGTTAAGGAAACCGGAATTAGGAACCCGACCGTTAGCGAAACAATCTCAGAAAAAGATGGACATATTATTCATTCTCAATCCAGGAGATTGGATCGATGGGCAGAACACTTTAGGGATCAGTTCAACTGGCCTTCAGCCACACTTCGGTTTCCCACGATCTCCAGTCAACCTGAATGGCAAGTTAATGTAGGTCCTCCGTCTTTACGAAGTTGAAAAAGCCATAGGAAATCTGAAACGAGGGAGAGCAGCAGGCCCTGACAGGTTTACTCCTGAGATTTTTAAGGATGGTGGTCCAGTATTAGCAGTGAGATTAACTGAGGTCTTAGGTAGAATTTGGGAACTGGACGTAATCCCATCTGACTGGTCTCAATCACTGATTGTGCCAGTCTATAAGAAAGGACAAAAGTCCTCTTGTGACAATCACAGAGGAATCAGTTTGACTAATATAGTGTCTAAAATATTAGCTTCAATAATACTTCGACGCCTAACAAAGCTCGTGAAGAGCAGACTAGAGAAAACCAGGCTGGTTTTCGACCTGGACGTGGTTGTATAGATCAGATATTCACACTACGTCAGGTTCTAGAACACAGACACACATTCAGACGCCCCACAATGGTAGTATTTCTCGACCTTAAGGCGGCATTCGACTCTGTTGATCGTGAGGTTCTATGGCAGTGTTTGTCACTGAAAGGAGTACCAAAGAAGTACATTAACCTTATAAAGGCTCTCTACTCGAACACAACTGGTAGAGTGAGAGCTTATGGCGAACTGTCATCAGAATTGATTACCTCAAGTGGTGTTCGTCAGGGCTGTCCACTCTCCCATTCTTGTTCAACTTTGTCGTTGACGTACTTTTAGAGATAACACTCTCCTCATCTAAATTTCCAGGGGTTGAACTTCTACCGGGAGGTTCACTTGTTGACTTAGAATATGCTGATGACATAGTTTTATTTGGTGAAGACGCTGACAAAATGCAGAGTCTTCTGACCACTCTAAGCAACAATGCAAGCATGTTCGGGATGCGATTCTCCCCTCGAAATGCAAAATGTTGCTTCAGGATTGGGTTGCATCGACACCCGAACCAATATAGGGAGTGAAGTAGTTGAGCGTGTCGACCGCTTCACTTATCTTGGAAGTCTCATCAGCCCTTGTGGTCTGGTGTGTGACGAAATCTCAGCACGGATACAGAGGGCTCAACTAGCTTGCGTCATTTATGGCGTAGGCGGGATATCCGTCTATCAACCAAAGGATGGGTTTACTGCACAGCAGTTCGTTCCGTCCTACTTTATGGCTGCGAAATATGGCCGATAAGAGTAGAGGATATTCGTAGGTTACTAGTATTCGATCATAGGTGTCTTCGAAGCATTAGTCGTATATCCTGGGACCACCGAGTAAGTAACACAGTTGTTAGGAAACAAATACTAGGTAACGATGGCAAAGCAATTGATGAGGCAGTGAAACTTCATCAGTTGGGATGGCTGGGACACGTGTTACGTATGCCTAACCATCGACTACCCCGACGCGCCATGTTTCGTGGTGTAGAAGTGGGATGGAAGAAAAGTAGAGGCGGCCAAACCAAAACATGGCACAAATCCATGAAGTTGCTGACAAGTGGACTGAGCCATGTTGGTAGGTGTAGACTACCTGGTTGGGATCCGCGAGACGATAGCAACCGATAGTTAGAGACCTTGAATGACATGGCTCAAAATCGTTTGCAATGGCGCAGGTGCATCCGCTCTTTGTGTTCTCCCAAATTCTAATCTTCTGAATTCTTCATGTCCCTTTTTTCCTCTTCCCAAATTTATTTCACTGGACTATACTCTTTGAATGACATCTTCAAACCCTAATCTTTCCGATTACTGCTTATACTCATACTACCTTTACCACTACGGGATTTGAATTGACAATTGTATTTCTGTGCTAATGTGGTGTGGCAACTCGAACTGGTGTACGTACGTACGAAGTTCTACGTTGTTACTGACTGACTGAATATCACTTCACTCTCACGCACTAATTCCTATTCATTTTTGTCCTCTTTATTATAAGACGAAGATTATCAGAACTATAGTTCTGATAATCTTCGTCTTCGAATATGATTATCGAAATTTATCAAAGGGACTAATTGTTTTAAACTTTTTATTATACTCATCTTCCTTTCTTTATCTCTTTATAACCTTATTTCTATTATGTGGTATGTATGTATCTGGTTCCAACTTGTGCCAATGTTTATATGTTCAAATAATAAATTCAGGAAATATAAAAGATTTTTATGATATTCAGATTAGATGGCAAGTATTTTTAAAACAGTGGGCGACCATGGAGTAAGGATGCATTTATTAGTAATGAAGCTCATTTTTAAAAAAAATCAATGTACTACCATGTCGAGTCAGTCAGTCATTTAAACGATTTGCAATACTATATCTGTTGTTCTTGGATTATGATATATACAGTTATGATCTTGTTTGAGGGTCACTCAATCACGACCATTAACTGAATTCTGTCCGAATATTGTGACTAATTAAGCTGGCACTCTGTCATAAAACAACATGGTTAGTAAAACATTATTTTTATCTTAGCGAAATCTCTATGCACACGAGAGACTAATTCATATCAGAAACAGCTGAACAGTCATTTCGTACGGATATAACATACAGTAAACGTTATGTCCACATTTGAACATGTATTATTTTTTGTCTACTTGGTATATTGAAAATACAGCTCTAACAGTCCATAAATTCATAATAACTCGGGATATTTACGTATTCGAAGACATTTATTTTTGAAGTTAAAACTTTTATCAGTAAAATTTGGAGATTGTAGTTGACTTTATTATCACGAAACTCTTGAATCTGATATCTGCCCGTATATAAATGTAGATAACCTTATCGTAAATCCGGCAAGAAATGACCAAATATGTATTATATAATTTGTAAATAGAATCACTTCTTATACAATTTGCGATATTTTCCATGAATTTTACTTCTGAATTTCTATGTTGTCATGGTTAATCACTATGTCTTACTTTTATCAGTTTTACCTGTTCTGAAAGTATGTATCACAAAATATTTGCCACTATATTTAAAACTCTCATATTCGCATCACTAACATATTTTTTGCATGAATTTAGGTCATTATTTTAGTTTCATGCGATTATTGTTGACTTTAAGCACATTAAATTCTCCTCATATTTTCTATTACTGAACATACTACCGGCTTGAATTTATTTCAATACTTATTAAAAACGGAATTCTCGGTATGATTGCCTTGTCAGTTGATTAAACAAATAGTTTGATATTCATCACGAAATGATTTTGTTATTTATGAATTTTTACAGGCCAACATTATTTCAGTAATTGACCAGATCCTAACATTTATAATTTAATAAAAAGTTCAATACTTTACGAACTCTTACTTTTCTTCCTATATTAACTGACATTTTTCACATTATTTGTTTAAGTATAACCCAGAATGGATTGAGTTACATTCAACCAACTGATTTCGAGGTGTCGACAGAGTTCCATGAACACTTTGAACAGAATACTGATACACCACTGTATGATGCAAAATTTCTTGAGACAGCTTGTTCCGATTCCAGCAAATCCTATTTTGATTATGAAAGAGAACCTCAAGATCGTGATTTCAACTCCCATTGCCATCAAAGTGGAAATTTTTCTTCTTCATTTTCTCACCTAAACTCTTCAGATGAAGATTTTTCTGTTGCAAGTATAAAATACAACTAGTTTGACTCAGATTTATTTAAATAAAAAAGTTACACAAAAATTTTAGTCGATGACCCCATGTATACGGGGAATTTCCAAATAATGAAGCTTGTTTACCATCAAAAAAATGTAATAACAATTAATTGTTCATAAAAAGTGGCTTCTCTTTTCATATTGTCATTTTGTACTATAGAGGGTTATAGAAATTACTAAATTTGAAATTCTGAGCATCAAACGAACATTATTTAGTCAGCTGCTGAAAAATGAGAAGTACTAGACAAAAAAGCAACTGTTCAGTGTCATCTGGTTTTTAGTGGTCATCTAACTCAAGTCAATTCGTAATGTCAAACCGTAAATTCAGCGATTGAATTTAACTACTAATAAATAGCAAGTAGACCATTTATTTGGAACAAAAATATCTCTTCAGCAAAGCTACTTGTGCATAAAGTTACAAGAAACATGATAAACATGATAAACAACTCAAGCATTCAGAATATCTAATTTGGTGTATTAAGAATTTTATTACATACAGCTTAAATACACACTTTCTTGATCCAATCGTTTGATGTTGCTGTCACCTGAATATCCAGTTGTGATTCGGACATGTTTTATGTGTGAAGTAATCAATAAGGAAAAATAGCTCGTAGGACAAATTTCACATTGTTTTCAGTGCTTCACTAAACATTATGTAACTTTTGGATGTGGAGGACCACACACATCTGTTTATTCTTGGTCACAAAAGTAACAAAGATTAAGAAAGTTTATTCAGATGAAATAGCTTCAAACACATCTACAAAATATTCAGAGGATATGAAAGAAATTTCCAGTACATCGAGGTTTGGTATGAAAATAGAAGAGATATGAGGATTCCTGTCTCACACGGTCTATTTTCCCTATTTCTGTACTGTGCGTTATTAACCGTAATGTTATTAGTAACTAGAGGAACAGGAAAAGGTATTTTTGACAGGATCACAGTAATTCATTTGGTCTACCAAATGTTTTTGTATAACAAATCAGAATGAGGTTTGTGGAGATGTTAGCAGAGCCCTGAAGACTCCAATGGGACTTATCTTTCATATTTCCTTAAATCTGACAGTCGGTTTCCCAAATAACAGAAACATATTTTAATAGTTGAATCCATGAGTCGATGTAAGCTAGATCACCATTGAAAACCTAGGAGCACTGTACGACCGTTTCGTTTTAGTATAGAACTCCTCAGCAGTGCTCATCCACGATCTCGTATGTGAGAAGCCGTGACCACTGGAGTTTAATCCGTGTCGGCTAGAGATAGGTATCTACCTCAGACAATGGATGAATGGTTGCGCCACCATTCATTGATCAAGTGAAAATAGACATTAACGTCATTAGGTACCGGCTCATTGGTCTAGAGTCTAAGTGTTCGCGCGCGAAACCTAAGGTTCAGGGTTTGGGTCCCTCATGCAGGGTTATAGGTTCGTACTACTAAGGAGTCCCATACTAGAACGAAACGGCCATCCAGTGCTCCTAGGTTTTCAATGGTGATCTAGCTTACATCGACTTATGAATCCAACTATTAAAATATATTTCTGTTGATTGGGAACCCGACTGTCAGATTTAAGGAAATATGGAAGATAAGTCCCATTGGAGTCTTCAGGGCTCCTGCTAACATTTCAATGCTCTTATTCATGGATTACACTAAACAACTGTGAGCACAAAATTTAGAAAAAAAGATAGTGTTAGACGAAGGAAAATTCATTCAACAAGTAAAATCAATGAGTGGTAACAGTAATCTAGATCTCGAATGTGTGACAGTATTTCTGATTGATGTCTAGCTACTATTCAAATGCAACTTGAAGGCAACATCAGAATTAACCCCTCAACCATGGACGTACTCAATAATAATAATAATAATAATAATAATAATAATAATAATAATACAAACTTGTGAAGGAAAAATATCGTGAATTTTTTTATGTTTACGGACATTCGTTAGTAATTTTACTTGGACTATACATTCTAGGAATTCAATCACTCCAGTCATAAAATGATTAAAATTCTAGGATCTTCGTAATTTACTGTCTGACTTCAGTCACGTGGAAATTAACTCACAATAACTGCTCAGGTTTTGGTTTTGACTGAAGATGCAACAGTCACGTCCTCAATTTATGATTGAATATGGGATATCCTGTTCATTGCATTCTATCTCACTTCCATGAATATGGTGTTTAGTTTGGTAGGTTCGGAGATATCATGGTTCCTCATGCTACGTATGAAAGTGGGTCACAGTGTGAACACCAACATTGTTAGGTAGGCATATCCAACTAACGAGTTCGAAATAGGACGGAATGAGAGTTCTGGATTCTACTGTTCAGATATACAGAACGGGAAGAATGATTGGAAACTATCAGATTCATATAATCCTGTATCAAAATAATGTAAGCATTGGACGGATTTAATATATGTATTATAATTTATCATTTGAAAACTTTACTGAATTCTGTCTACCTATCGTAAAGATTTTGACAAAATTTCATTTTGTCATGATCTTATTCAATCCTGCAAACGCTTTATACTACTTTTTATTAGTAAGTAGAAAACGCATCTTACAACAAATTTTCATCGTAAGTATCATTTCAATCAATGAGTAACCTTATGAATAACTAGAGATGGGATAAATATAGTTATGGTACACGTATAATATAACTCTATAATAAGCAGGACACGAGTAAACACCCTTGATTCTGAATACTTTTAGCTTGATGTTTATATTTCTGTGTAATATTAGATAAGAAAAAATCCTTTAAAAGTTAAGAATTTTAGTATCACTAGATATTTCTGAATTACATCGAATACTGAATAAATTTTGCGACATATAACGACCTTGAGTAATGTAGGTGGATCACGGAGTTTATATAGTAGGAGATTTCAGCTAACTTACATGCAATACACCGAAGTTCATCCGATTCTCCATATAAAGATTATGGTGTCCAAAATGTTACAGAATCTATTCATTTTTGTTTGTTACTATTTAAATGATATTCTCATAAAAGTGAACTGTCAATCGTTATTTAAATTTCTTCGAAATACTGATATTCAAAACATTTCGATATTGCGAAGTACACGATATGTAATTTTTGGTAGATATATATTAAAGGTTACATTACTCATTTTCAAGAAAAATTAGTTATTTTTACTAGACTCTACGATACTAAACGTAATTTAGAGAAAAATCCAATCTATTATCGTGAATCTGAATATATCAGTGTATTGGGAAGGTAACACTAGTCTGTGTTGTGAAAACAAACGTATGCATTCCATAATAGTTTGTACATGCTTACAAATACGCAAACATACAGTCATTAGTGTATAGACTCATTTATTTTCCACGTTATGTCTATCTGAACAAGAGAAACGAAAAAAACAGTATGTTCTTGTTTTTCGAATGCTCAAATCGGAAATCCGGACAATTCATTTTAACTATTGGACATTATCATATATATAACGAGTGAGAAAAACACATCATTAAAATAACATAACACACATTTATCTCTTACTCTAGTCGACACGCAACACAACAAGCATAAAATAGAAATTCCGCTACTCATTTTACACGTAGTTGTAATAATAATAAGAGTAATAATAATGATAATAGTCTATAAATATTTAGTTAAGGTCAGGATAACTTTTCAATACATCACTTTACTAACTCATCATTTGATTGTATAGAAAATCTAAGTGAGAAATTCGAATACTCTTAATTATCATTTGTTTTTCATCGTTTGTTTTTTATTTGTTTGTTTATTTTAACTCCATTCTTAATATAATCAAAATTTTCCGGTACAGTAAATGCCAATTAACCTTAAAGTGGACTACATTAAAATTATTTTATGTTAGTTCTTGAATCTTTTATTTTCTGTTCACTTAGAAAATATAAAGGGAATGGCAGTATATTGTTGAACGACACATTCTTTTTGAGTTTATTTCTTTTTCCCACATACACACAACCAAACACATTTACTCGTTTATGTTTGTCGAGATATGCTGATATACGTTAATGATATTTTTGTGGGATGTATTTATTAGTTCTATCTATTATGGTTTGTTATAACATTACTAAACAAGTGAAACTATTTGCAATAAATGTAACTGAAAACAATCAGACAGTAATCCATTATTTTTTATAAATTTCCAACTTAAATGAACTAGGCTGAAAGTAGATATTATTCAAGTGTAGAACTTACATAGCTAAATACTAGATGAATACTAGATGAATAACACGTCTAGAGAAATTTAATAACTTGACTCCAATTACTATCAATAATTATTTCTTTTTTCTAGCATTTCTCGATTCTTACATTTTTGCTTTGAATTTTGCTATTCAGTTTTTGTAATGAAAAAGAAATGTTCATATTTTTACATCTGTAAACCTAAAGAATTACGATCGAAACAAATGCCCTTAAGACCTAACTAATGAAAAGTTTACTTTGGCTTGGATGGATATTGCAAATAATCAGATTACAGAACAAAATTCAGTTAACTAAATAAATAGTTTTACAGTAGAATTACTCATTCAATTTTTTTCCATAAATTCTACGTTGAAAGCACTTTTAAATTATTTCATATGGTTCAGTGGGACAAAAAAATGCTTAGAAGTATCTGAATCGAGGAAATATGCAGTGATGTAGTTTTGTGATTTACAAAACAAAGGTTATGTAGTAATAGCCTGTGATAAAAACTATTTTTAATCTTCAGTAAAGTTTCAAGTATTTAAACTCTAAACTATGGATTTTCTGGCACTGTTGCTATCAGAACATTAAGTTTGTTGGGGAGACCCAGAGATTTTCTTGAAAGAAACCCAAAGAGGAAACACTTCGTCCAATCAGCACTCAATAGAAGTTTCTCAGAAACAACTAGAAAGTGACGAGTCACGTATCACATTTCTGATTGGATGATTACCTATCCTACTACTATGTTTAGTAGGGTTCCAGCAATTTCCACAGGCCCAAGACCCTCTGAAATGCTATGAATACCCTCAATTTTCT